TTTAAGGATATTAAATATGTAAACAATGTTTAAAAATTCCAAAGACTGATTTCTAGTTTTACTAGCAATAAGAGTTGCATAAATTGAGCATTAACCAAACAGTTGAGTGTTCTGTGCTACATATAAAAGTTTCTCTGATATTAAAAGAATTCTATCAGTAGTATCCAATTCATAATCATTATTATAGGTAGAAATAATCAATACAATATAAAACTGAAAATGGCTACTCCACCCAGTAATATTGTCATAGATTGAAAAAAAAGTTTCAGGGCCAGCCCGGTGGCGCAGCGGTTAAGTTCACACGTTCTGCTTCTCGGCGGCCCAGGGTTCGCTGGTTCAGATCCCAGGTACGGACATGGCACCAGTTGGCAAAAAGCCATGCCGTGATAGGCGTCCCACATATAAAGTAGAGGAAGACGGGCATGGATGTTAGTTCAGGGCCAATCTTCCTCAGCAAAAAGAGGAAGATTGGCAGTAGTTAGCACAGGGCTAATCTTCCTCAAAAAAAAAAGAAAAAAGTTTGGAGAATCAAATCTTGTGTATAACATTGAAAACTTAAAAAAAACTCCTGAATCAAATTCTACTTGATAGAAATAATGAGTACGCATAAAACTACAATGGCAGATGTGAAAAATCAGTAAAATTTGGTATGGATCAAATTTGAATGACGAATGAAGCCCTCATTGTAGTTTGTCCAGGAGAGAATTGGTTCACATAAAAATGATTTCAGCAAAATTAAAAAAAAAATAGAAATGGCTAAATCTCACCGTACAGAAAATTGAAAAGGGAATTAAGTCTAAATGAAAATTTATCAATGTTGGGACAATTCTGATTAAAAATATGTGTATTTATAAAGTGGAGGCAAAATGACCTTGGAGGTTAGAATGGCAGGTCAAAAACATTGGGAGGTAATGCATATTAAGCATTTAGCAGAGATAATGCACGTATCTGGCATGTGGTATATACTCAATAAATACCAGAGTGATTTAAAAAAAATTTTTAACTGAACTAAAATATACATGACAAAATTTGTCATTTTAACCATTTTTAAGCACACAGTTCAGTGGCATTAACTACATTCACGTTGTTGTTGTGCAACCATCACCACTGTCCCTCTCCAGAACTTTTTCATCTTCCCAAACTGAAACTCTGTACCTGTTAAACCATAACTCCCATTCCTTCTCTCCCCAGGCCCTGGGGACCACTATTCTACTTTCTGTCTCTATGAATTGGACTATTCTAGTTATCTCATGTATATGGAATCATAAAATATTTATCCTTTTGTCACTGGCTTATTTCACTTAGCATAATGTCTTTAAGTTTCATCCACGTTGTAGTATGTGTCAGAATCTCCTTCCTTTTTTTTTTTTTTGAGGAAGATTGCCCCTGAGCTAACATCCGTGCCCATCTTCCTCTACTTTATATGCGGGGTGCCTGCCACCACATGACTTGCCATGTGGTGCGTAGGTCTGATCCCAGGATCTGAACCGGCGAACCCGGTACCCCTGAAGTGGAATGTGCAAATTTAACTGCTTCGCCACTGAGCAGGCCCCTCTCCTTCCTTTTTTTTTTTTTCTTTTGAGGAAGATTAGCCCTGAGCTGACATCTGCTGCCTATCCTCCTCTTTTTGCTGAGGAAGACTGGCCCTGAGCTAACATCCATGCCCATCTTCCTCTACTTTATATGTGGGACGCCTACCACAGCATGGCTTGCCAAGCAGTGCCATGTCCCCACCCAGGATCCAAACCAACGAACCCGGGCCCCCGAAGCAGAATGTGTGAACTTAACCGCTGAGCCACCAGGCCAGCCCCATCTCCTTCCTTTTTAAGTCTGAATAATATTCCGTTGCATGTGTACACCACATTTTGTTTATCCATTCATCTGTCCATGAATATTTGGGATGCTTTCCACCTTCCAGCTATTATCAATAAAGTTGCTATTAACATGAGTGTATAAGTATCTGCTTGAGTCCCTCCTTTCAATTCTATGGAGTACATACCCAGAAATTGAATGCTGGATCATATGCTAATTCTATTTGTAATTTTTTGAGGAACTGTCATACTACTTTCCATAGCAGCTGCACCGTTTTCCATCACTATTAACAGTTCACAAGGGTTCCAATTTCTCCAATCCCCGCCAACACTCAGCGCTTTCTGCTTTTTTAATTGTAGCCGTCCTAATTTTTTTTTCAAAGATTAGCCCTGAGCTAACGTCTGTTGCCAATCTTTTTTCTTCTTCTTCTCCTTCTCCTCCCCAAAGCCCCCAGTACAGAGTTGTATATTCTAGTTGTAGGTTCTTCTAGCTGCACCCTCTGAGACGCTGCCTCACCATGGCTTGATGAGCAGTGCTAGGTCCATGCCCAGGATCCAAGCTGGCGAAACCCTGGGCCGCCAAACTTAACCATAAAATAATGAATAATATTCCATTGTAATGTGATGGAATATTCCATTACAGAATTTACATAGCAAAAGCAGAGCACGAAAATTTAACCACTCGGCCATGGGGCCGGCGCCCCCCATCCTAATGTTTTTAAAGGGTGATTTCTCCTCTTCTCAGTCTTGCTGTAGGTTTTCCTGATAGCAGCCTCTCTGGAGTGGGAAATGGAAGACTTCTCAGAAATCCCTCTATGTGACAGGAAGACCTCAACTTCACAAAACTAAACCTCAAGAGATGAATTCACTACCACATACACACAAAAGGTAAGTACTAATTATTTTAGTGCAGATTGAGAAGCGTGTCCTCTGTTCGATTTATCAGATTACGAAGCTCTTGAAAAGATGTGCAAAAATCTTTTGATGTTTTGCATTGCTATATTTTCTTTTCATTTCATTTGATTCATTTTTAAATGTATGATCCCCACAGCTGAATTTAGAACTATCTGAATCCCAAACGAAGCTGATTAACCCAAGCGAACCCACATCTTAAATTTCCCAGGATAGTCTTAAATCATTTTATCTTATATATCATAAAATTCTCTTACTTGTCAGACTATGTACATTTCAATCACCTTAGGCTTAATATAAAAATGTCATCTTTCTATGCCTCAGGCTTTTGTCCTTGGCTGTGTCTTGTTTATTCCTCAGCAATGATGTGAAGGATTACAAAATTTACATAGGAAACAGCACACAAACAACATCTAGTCTGCTGGTATCTTTTCTTTGGCGTACACGGTGTTTTTAAATCTCCTCACGAGCACTCAAAATTCAGAAATCTTTGGGGCCGACCCAGTGGCATAGTGGTTGGGTTCGCATGCTCTGCTCCAGCAGCTGGGGGTTCACAAGTTCAGATCCTGGGCACAGACTTACACACCGCTTGTCAAGCCATGCTGTGGCAGGCGTTCCACACATAAAGTAGAGGAAGATGGGCATGGATGTTAGCTCAGGGCCAATCTTCCTCAGCAAAAAGAGGAGGATTGGCAGCAGATGTTAGCTCAGGGCCAATCTTCCTCACCAAAAGAAAAATTCAGAAATCTTTACATAAAAATTCAGATTTCTGGTATCTGCTAAAAAAACTTAGGTGACCTGGCAACACTGAGTCCATGTTCTCTATGTCAGTTACTATTTTTTGTTTCAAAGACAGAGAACTTTTTTTTTTTCCTGCTTTATCTCCCCAAACCACACCCCTCCCCCCAACATAGTTGTATATCTTGGTTGCAGGTCCTTCTAGTTGTGGGATGTGGGACGCCGCCTCAACATGGCCTGACGAGCAGTGCCATGTCCGATCCCAGGATCCTAACCCTGGGCTGCCGCAGCGGAGCACATGAACTTAACCACTCGGCCAAGGAGCTGGCCCGTCAGTTACTATTTACCATTATGTTTGTGGGGTTGTTTTTCTTACTGTGGGGAAAAAAGTAAAATCATTTTCCCTGTTATCCAACCCACCACATTTAGTTTTCCTGCCTGACCCAAGTTATCATTTGAGTTTGTGACCCTGCTCCAGGATGTTCAAGAAGGTATAGTAACTATACTGGTTGATGGAATCAGACTTCCTGGGCTTGAATGCAGATTCCCACAACAGCCTGTCTGTGCCTCCATTTCCGGATCTGTAAAATGGGGGTAATAACGGTACTTACTTACCTCACAGGATTGAGTTAATAAATGTAAAGTGTTTAAGATAGTGCCTGCAGCTTTAGAAAAAGAAAAGAAAAATGGTCCAGGAGCCCAGGGACCATGTCTATCTTATTTACAATTGAATCTCAGTGGCCAGCACAGAGAACTTGCAACAAAAGACGCATCAATAAATCTTTGTTAATAAATGCGGGGAAAGGGAGTCTAACAATCTACAGGAGTAGTATTTAGGGCAAGGGACAGACAGACGTGTTCTACTTTGCATAGGAGGGGCACAACCACGGGATATGAAGCACAGGGGAAGCAACGGAGGATGCGCAGCTGGATTAGACTGCGTGGGGGGGCGGGGGAATCCACAGATCTTGTGAAAGGCCGTCTGGGGAAAACGGAGTAGGTTTCTTGCAACCTGTCTGGGGAAAATCCGGACCAGGAGATGCGGATACAAGAAAACAACTTGGCTCCTTACGGAAAGGAACAAGCAATTCCACGAAGCGCGGTGAGGCTAGCACAGCGCATTCCTGGGATACGCAAACGCAGCGCGACTGCCGGGCGGCGACGCCGAAGCAAGATCTCTACTACAGCCCTTTAGATTAAGGCGTCGTCTGATTGGTAAAGAGTTCGGCGGGAACAGGAGGACGCCCAACGAAGGAAGTGATGTCAGGTGTCACTCACTTGACAGGGGTGGGATTACATGGGCCGAGATGCGGAAGTAGTGTTTTGATTGGTTGTTTTCTTGAGACACCACCCAATCAGCATCTTGCCGCTCCTTGCTTCCGTTGGTGCCGCTTGTTTTGCCCTTAATAAAGATGGCCGCAGAGGCGTCCGGCCCTGGTGGGAGCAGAGTGCGTATTTTCAGGAGCGTGACGAGAGAAGACCGGAAAGAGCGTAGGATTCGTGAGCATTGATTGGCTGAAGCGAGAAGCCTTCTGGGCGCTGATTGGCTTCGTCTTTCGCGGGAAGGAGTTTGTGGCGCCAGCGGAAAGTAGATACAGCGGCAGGGGCGACGGGTTTCTGAGGTGTCCGGCGAACCCTCCAGGCCGGAACCTTCTGGGCCTCTTTCCTGAGGAGTCGTGGTCATGATGTTCAATAGTAATGATGAGTGGGGCGGAGGAGGATAGAGTCGCAGGAAGGACGTAGCGAAAGGGTGGGGGTGGGGGACGGGCGGGCGGCGCGGCGGGGGGGGCCGGGGGGGGGGGGGGGCCAGGC